AGTCAAAGATTTATGGTGGAGCAGAGCAACAGCTAATATTCACAAGAATATAAAAAATGTTCATAATTCACATGAGGGAGACACAAAAAAAACCACTTCCCACTCAGAATGGTAAACTAACAATTCCCTCATTCATGGATTTACAGTCATAAAAATCTCGATAATAAAAGAATAAAAAAATAGAGCCTGAGCAACACTTCAGTGGGAGACTCCTGCACCTCTTCTTGACTTTGTTATGCTGCTGTGACGGGAGAGGATCAAAGTGTTTGGCTGCGAAAAGGCAGCAGACTTTTGAACTGTAATGCTCCTAAAGCCCGCGGAGGCTTTAGCATTGTCTGCCCGTGGCACCGTTACTGCCTCCTTAGCTGCTCATGAAAGCATGAAGGCAAAAGAGGCAAACTTCAGAAAAAATTAATTTGGGGGATTTGTTTTAAGTTACTCGTGACACAAAACAAAATTAGAGCCGTTTCTTTTAAATGTATGTCATGTAGAATGTGGAAGAAACACTGGTGCACGTTCTCTGATTAGGTTTTTATATAAGTCCCATGAAATGAAAGTTTGAGAGAAGATTTACAGGATGACGGCGGTCTGAGTCTCCTTGGGCAGGTTGCGTCAGAGCTTTGGGGCCTAAGGTCACCCTCCAGAGCGTTCAGGCGTTCAGTGACAGACATCCAGGAGGAGGCAGGGTGCCAGTCATTGTGAGTTGAAGCACATGCTGATAGAGGTGGCGGAGATCCAAGGAAGTAAAAATCCATCCAGCGTTGCAGCATGAGAGGTTGTGAGTGTGGTTTTTTTTCCCTTAATGCAAATGTATTCCGATTGGTAGTAGCTGCTGTAGACAATAAAACGTTACAGGCTGCACCTGCACCGACTGAACCTCGACTGCTCAGCGCCACAATTGATTTGTGTTGCAAAGGGAGTTGTGGTACTTTGGCCGCTCATGTCTCCAAAGCTCCCTCTCAACTTTGACTCCCAGACTTTGTACCCTTCCTGGTCGCCACGGTTCTTTCACAATGCAGAAGGAGGATAATTGCCGCCGCTTCCCTCTTCTATCTTGATCTGAAATACATAATTCATAGCTGCTGTGCTCACTGTTTTGCCTTTCAAATGTCCTGCTGCTCCGCTGCTACCTGGCGCATGCCGACGTGACCCTGTGCTACATTTAGCCTCCTTACTGTACCCGGCGCTCCACCTCGCAGTCGAAGTGGCTGACACCCTTGATCCAATGTAAAGAGCCGCAATCAGGTGCCAGGACCAGTTCTGTCTCCATCACAGATATGAGGATGCTTCAGTAATGTAATGCACAGATAAAGACACAGTATTAGTATTATAAGTGTTTCCTTGCAAAACCCGACAATCAGTGGAAAATGAACCAATTTGTCAAGCACGTTACATCTGCTCTTTTTGCCCGATAACGTCATTGGGCTCCCATTCAGCTGGATATGTAAATTATGTGCTCAGCGCTCAACAAGCCCCCGAAAGCGTCAGATTTAGCGAGTGAGACAGTCTGCGTCTTTGTGTCCTCGTGTCTGACTGGAGGCGGCGTCTTCAGATTAGACCCGGGAACAGCCAGGTCTGTTTACAGATCTCAGGTTGCACTCGCGGGGGCTTATTGGGAAAAAAAAAATAAAAATAGAGAGAGAGAGAAATAAGATGTTGAAATCAAGATGATAAACGAATGATTTTGTTCTTTTGATGAGATGCGTTGCTTCTATTGCAACGTGACGTCAATGTAGGATTTTAATAACGGCCCCAAGTGCTTCGTTTGCTAAGCAATAAACCAACAGGCGGGATAAACGATTCCATTGGTGGATTCTGTATCAAAAGAGAATGGATTTGTATCTATGGTGATGAGGACGGACGTCAAAGTGAAAAGGAATTCACCTTGAAACGCTTTTATTTTCTGAAATAGAAAAATAACGTCTCCCAAGTGTCTGGCCTGTTCGATGAGCCCACAACCGTCCACCATCCATGTATCTCTAGAACATTTGGAAAGTAAATTAAAGTGTCTGTTTTGTATTATTTTGTTCATCTGACCAGATGTTGGCTATTTACATATTTGGCCGTCTTCCCTGTCAACAGAGTCTTCAGTGTGAGGAATTAATAATTCCCATAATGCTGAGAGGCACAACAAGAGGCTGATGCTGTTCCTAATGAGTTACTTGTACCTTTCAACTGCACAGATCAGGGCTGAATATCAAGTAAAGATTTTATTTATGCATCTTTCAACATCACACGTTCTACTTGCTCTGAATATTTAAAAAATATAAGTTGAATTTAAAGCTGCCATCTCATCCCCCTTTATGTAAAGTTCTCCTCACCCTGTCTCATTCTGTCCCTTCACCCTCCTTATTCTATCAAATATATTCAGACAGGCATCCATGCACAAGTGCACACACACACACACACACACACTCTTGCAAGCTGCACGAGGCCAGATTTATGCCCTGACAATTTGATAGAATCCACTGAAACGGTAAGGAGTTAATGTTGGTTAATTAATTCGTTGGACCTGGGCAGGGAGCTGTGAGCTGAGCTGAGGAGGAAGGGGGATGGCGGAGCGGGCGGCGGTGGAGGTGGTGGTGGTGGTGGTGTGGCGGCTATAGCGACGGCAGGGTTGGTGAAGGGTTTAGTATCTAAATGAGGGGAGTAATCCACTGAGTGCCTATAATGTAATGAGTCAGTCTCGCTTAATGGAGTCCATTTGGGGAGGAAAGAGGTATGGAAGGAAGGACTGTGGTGGTTCTGGAGGTGCGTAGGTGGACTGAAAAATGATTTTATGAAAATATGTCCTGTCGCTGGATGAGCAAGCTCTCAGCAGCTGTTTTATTTGTGCAATTGCCGGATTGTGATGCCGCAGTGCATCACGGAGGCGTGTTACTGTAACGCTCGAGGTTACGAATAACACCATTTTTTATCTGAAACAGAACTGGTGTTAATGCTTTCAGAGTGGCTTTATCTTCGCCCCGTGGTTCAGGGTAATTCCTGAACTGCCAGGCTGCGTTTGTGCGTCGCTATTTCCATTTGACTTTGAAATCTGTGCTCGCTCTCACACACACACACGCTCATAAACACACACTGTTCCCCCGTCTCCTCCTGCATATCTGCATTTCATTGACACAGAGTCGTCCTTTTAAGAATTCCTGTCCTGAATTCTTTTATATTCCCTCGAATAGAATTTCTCTTATCAGAAGTTCTTTGTAAATTAAGTTAATAAATGTACACGTATTGCTCATACTGATGAGTCTCTTATTTTTAAATTCACTTTATTAACCTGTCTTCTTCTGCTTTGCTTCTCTGGGACATCATTTAGAATTTAGCAGTAATTGCCATGGACTATTATTTATTTTCCTCTCTCCCTCCCTCTTCTACTTAGGGTCAGTTCCCAAATCCAAAAGTAAAACTCGTCTACTTGTGTTTAAATTTGGTTTTCTGTGCCAATGTTCTTATCTTCAGTCTAAGACCATTATAGAAAAGCGTGCATCTTAATGAAGTCACTTTTACAGAGGTGGATGTCTTTTAAAGATAAAGATAAAGATCTAGGAATATTTTTGCACTTGCTCTGACATTGGAATCATTTTCCTTGATTTCTCTGAGAATAATTCATGGATCTTGATATAAAGAATAAATAACTTTGTTAAGTACTGGTTCAGAGATCTGCTCACCATCACTGGTGAAGGCCCAGAAAAGAAAGTGTCACCTGTGCATGAAAAACAGTTCCGTTGCAACACTTGCTCTGCTTCCAACGCCTCCTCTGGAGTCAGGGGTTGTATTATTCATGTCTTCCGTGCTGGTGTCATATCTGTAGCTCCCGCTGTTGTTGTGTGCATCTTGTCGCCTCTGCGTTCAGATCTGATGAGCCACCGCTCTGCCAGGGCGCGGCGTGTAATCCAGGTCAGCTGCCATCTTACCCTGCTGTTTTCACGGCCCGTTGGAAATCTTTTAATTGCGAGATTTTAAGCTGGGACTAGACAAAGCGTCTCAGGAGTCTCATCTGTTCGTCTGGCGCCGTGTCGAGGTTCAGGGAGGGAAGCACGAGACCAGACACAGCCAGATGTGACGTGTGCTGCTGGCTGTGACACAAGTGACACGGCGCTGAACACGGCACAGACCCATTTGCTCCAAACTCTTGTACTATGAGTTAAACACGAAAGAAACTGTGGCTTTGTGTCATTCACGTGCTACTTATTCGTGAGACAGTCGCAGTGAGCATTGCCGCACGAGCCACGGGCAGGAAGGGAAACTCTAGGAGACGTCTCACATCTGTAAAAAATAAAAAAAGAGGATTTGTCGCAGATGCTTCAGAGCACACGTTTCTTTTGGAGGGATTCTGCAGCAACCAGGTTTTGGGTAGCTGCAGGCTCAGGTGGTCGCCATGTGAGGATGACTGCAGAGGGCCAGGAGCGAGCTGCCAAGATGACTGTGCTGTCGGTTTGGAGTCGCACATGCACAGTGAAATGTTGTGTTACAAATGAACCAAACAAAAGCATCATTTGAAAGGATGCAATGTCGAAAAGTAAACAGCTGTGTCTGCGGTCGCCGCAGAACATCCAGGCTGTGTTTGTTCTAGTTGGACAGTATTCTGCATTTAATCCGTGTTTATTTTAAAGAATAGAATAAACCTTGGTTCACCTGCATCACAAAAAACAACAGCAGCTGGATTTGTGCTCACAACACAAATTCAATTCCTCTCACCTCCAATCATTCGAGGTGAAAGGTGTTGAACCTCAGCTGGGGCCGTAAAAACCCAAAACTGTCTGCATGGCCAGACAACACAAAATACAAACTTAGCTTGAACACACAATTTCAGTTCAGCTAAAAGTGAATGAATATAAAATGAAAACATACAGCATGTCGCTCAACTCTTAACAGATTAAATTAATCATTTAATTTTCCTTCATGTCTAATTTGAGGCTACAGTTTTCCGAGAACCTTTGTCTTTAATGCTTTTTCTTCATGTCTTCTTTTCTTCCCTCTCCGCTCTCTCTCTCTCTAAACAGGTCCCCCACCAGATGGGTGCACTGACCTTCTACCGCTACGAGCAGCCCATTGTCGACTACTGCCAGGCCCATCAACCCCTGCGGCTCAACATGGGCTATGAGGGACCCCCACAGGGCCTGGAGGACCTGGGGCCGTGTGATAGGGGCACCATACAGACAGTGGCGCTGCCCGCCGTGCCCTCCGCTGCCAGCATAGGCGCCCCTATGCCAGGGCCTCGCTCCCCTCCGCCTCCCCTCAGACCACCGACTGAAGGTCCCAGCAGCGGCCCCTTTCCTCCCCCCGAGCGCACCGGTACACTCAAATTTGGACGCTAGCGAGCCCGGCCTGGTTGTTAGAAATGGGGGCCTTTGATTAACCCTGACTTTAAAATGAAGGGGCAGGTGAGCTGGTTTATTCAGTGGGGGCCTTGTTTTCAGAACATGACTAGAGGAAAAAAAAAATTTAATATCACATTCTGCCTGGAGGGATTTGCCATCTGAAACACACCGACTCACCAATATACAGTCGAGGTTGAGACATCATTGCTGATCATTTTTATTTCTTTGTTGTTTTTCCGAAGCACCTTAATGGAAACGTATCGCCGCTGACTCATGTGAGGTGACGTGGAATAAGACAAAACAGAATCACCTTGTTTCCAAATCTGGTCTTTGCCACGTCGGCATCATGGGGCTCCTGCTTATGGACAGTCCGCCTGCGCCGAGTCAGGAGTGGAAGGGAAAGTGCAATAAACACGAGTTTTCAGTCATAAACCGCAACGTAAAAGAGACTACTCATGGTGCGAAGAGCAGGCGGCTTCTTACTGTGATTATTTTTACTTTTTATAGTCAGTAGTCGTTCACAAAATCAATATCTTTACTTTATGAAGATGAGTCACTTCCTTCAGACGAGTGACGGCAAGAGTTTCTGTTTCTTTTTCGTGTCTCCGGATGTTGGATCTCATGCTGAACTCCATTAATGTGCATGTCAAACCAAAGAGTTTACTTCTGTTTTCATTTTAATGCACATGTGCTACTTCAGCCGAGGGCATTCTTAAAATGTCAACTGGCCTCTGCCAACCTCAAAGTCACAATTACAACCAAAATCTGCTGGCGGTCTCAGACAGGCTGAGCTCATCTTTACCGACAAACACAAAAGGTCTTTTCTCAAGATTACGTTATCGTACCTGATATTCAACGACCGCAGAAACATTACAGCATGATCCATAACTTTCTCTAGTACACATCTCATGACATGGGCCCTTTCCACATCAGAATGGCAGGTTTGTGTATATGATTATATCCCAGCTGAATTATTCACTATGCTTTAAAGAGGTAATTATGGGAGGGGGTTGGGTGGGGGGGGGTTGTTTTGTTGTGATAAAATAAGTACATTTGAATGCAACGAATTGTACATATTCTTAAAAAAAGGTCCACTCTACTGAAGGCCGAACCACTCTCACTGCCCCGAACAGAAAATTTTTTGAGTCGACGTTTGACTCCCACCGCTCCGGACAGTTTGGAGAGCGCCGTCTCTCGCTGGGTTTGGGCAAAGCCCCGGCCACGTGCTCCCGTCTCAGCCACAGAGAACATCAGTGCCTAGTGGGAGCATGTCGAACCGGCACGTTGACGTCTCTTCGACCTGCGTACGAACCCGTGGACTGGACTGGGAATATCGCCTGACATCTTCCCCCTTTCTTTTCCGGCAGAAAGGGCGCCCGCGGTGCTGGACTTTATTGCACTCGCTAACCCTTCAGGCCACCACGTCGAGCACTGCTACTTATTGACTTAGGGAGCCGATACGGATACGACCGCGATGGCCTGTCAAACATCATCTCCGGCTTAATCCGAGCAGAGCACCGGGGTCATCCTCTACGTGTCAGCGGACATACTCGCGGGAGTGGGGGAAGCTGTGGTCCTCCCAACGAGCAACCGATTTATCCATGGATGGAACTGATAGGGGGCAAACAAACCCCCGTAAATGTAGGTGTATCCTCGAGATAAGAGAAAAAAATAGATTTTTGTTTGTTATTTTGGCTTTGAACAGAAGAGACAATTTTTTCGAGGTGTTCACAGATGATGTCAAGAAATTCTATAAGACTAATCAAAGGACAAAATCAAATAGAACTTATTTATCGTGTAAATAGTGAATCTTTAATGGAGGAGGAGAAAAAAAAGAAATGAACTTCACTTCTTCTGAAACACAAACTGCTTGTGACCAGAAGAGGAGCCTTATTCACTCTCCGGTGGGAATCTGTCTGAGGAGGTTCCTGCTGCGACGCTCCTGTTGTTTCGATGATAAATATTTTTCTATCTGCTCCCGTCACTGTTCCACCGTCACGCCATTCAACAGAAGTTACTGAGGTTGTTTCTTAAATCCAAATCGTTTTAGTGAATCACATGAAGAAAAGAAGGTTCGGAGGCCTGTTGTCGTTTTAACATCCAACCCTCACCGAGATCCGTGTTTTCCGTTCCGACGTCAGAAACATGTGAGGGCTGATCACGCAGGAGGTGGCCGTGTGACGTGTCGTTTATTTTACTCGAGGAGACGAAGTGTGATATTCTTAATAACCAGAGTTTAAACTTGTGAAGGATGTTTCTTTTTGATGTGCCATTATTTTTCTCTGTTAAATGTTTTTTTTTTTTTTTTTTTACCAAAAACCAGCCCCGAAAAGACAAGCGACCCAAAAGTCTGAGACTAAGAAGGGCTCAGTCCCCCTTCGTGTACAGGACATTGCATAAAAAGCAGTTGATTCGCTCAGTGCGGTTGCTTCATAGTGCTGGTGGAGTTTACTTTTGTAATAGCAGCTGTGCCAATGTCTTTATAATGGAAGCTCTCTCAATTCTATCCATGTATTGTCTTGCCTTGCTCTATATCACCCCTGCTAACTCCTTGGCCTGAATTTCATGTCTGCCTCTCGGTGACTCGGGTGAACCTGTTTAATGATGTTCTATTTCCGTCCGCATGCTGATATTTTGGGAAACTTACGCCTGGTTAGGGAAGAGCACTGAACCGCAGACAAAACAGCCACAGAGATATTTCCTGTCGCCTCTGCCACGGACACCGGACGCACGTGTCACGAACAACCTCGCCGCTCTTAAGGCAACGTGTTTGCTGACCCATTCCTGCCCCTGTCTCGCTTACAGTAGAAGTCCGTGGCGCTGTGTAAGGCTGAGGAAGAGGCTTGTGCGGGCCGCTCACTCCAGGGACGGACTTTCGTCTCCTGCCAAACCCCACGTGTAGTGATTACCTCAGCGACGCCGACTCAACTCACCGTAAACACAACGATCAAAGCTTAACGTTGGCCTTCACCCGTAATTAGAGAATGCTCAAACGTCTCTGTGTATTAACAATTAAATCTACCACTAATAAGCAGTTGATTTATCACGGCTACCTCCCTGATAAAATTGGATATGTTCAGAGGAATGTTTTAATCCTGCCGCCAGTAATTATTTAGTCTTTTGTCCATTTCTTTTGCCATCAGAGAGCTGGAGGCACAGGCGCTGCATGCTAATGATGCATGTTTGAGCTGAACTCCAGGACCGTGTGCGCTATAGCCCCACAATGCCAACAGGCTTTATTTTCTCTTCTGCTTTTATTTGTTTATGGTTTCGTACATCCCGACCCTCCCCTCCAATCTCCGAGTTTGGGCTCAAGTCTGCACTGGGAGCATGTTCTCTTCTTCCCCTCTTTTTCTGCTCTTTCCGTATTTGCTCCGGGTGGGGTGAATAAAGGTCTGAAGAATCGCAGTGAAAACTTTCATATTTCAGTGTTTATGCTCAGAGGAAAAGCTAAATGCAAATCTCGTCGGGGGAGAGGGGAAGCAGAAGAGACTAGAGGGGGGCGGGGAATATATAGAGGGACAAATGGGTAAGTTCAAGGACATTTTATTTTGTTACAGATAAAAACGCCCCGGGCGGCTTTTATTCGACTCGAAGAAATGAGACAAACAGCTTCAGCCAGGGGTTAAATTGGGGCTGGAGACGATCCAAGTGTCTGGCACCCTCGATAAAGTAGTAAACAAATCTGATTGGCAGTTTCGTACATGATAATGTCAGGCGGCTTCATTTTTCATGTGCTGCTGCAGCCTGGCGTTCTCTCCGACTGATGCCATTGAGATACTCGACCCTGCGGCCCCGCCCACACACCCGTTTTTTTTGTTTTTTTTACCTTTTCTCAGTCTTTTCCTGCAGCAGATGATTTTTATTTTCCAGAGACTTCAAATCGATGGAATTTCCAAACGGGCTCATCCACAGAATTTACCAGAAGAAACATGATTTGCCATTTTTGATTGTGTTTTTTTTTTTTTTTTTTTTTTTTTTTTATTTTTTGGTATTTGTGGAGAAATGCCTCTTCCTGCAGATCATCACAGAAGGAAAATGTTCTGTTAACATCATTGTTGCTGAATTAGCAATGACCTGCGTCTCCAGGAGCACATGAAAACTTAACATTAAAAATTAATGAGGACGTTAGAAAGGTCAGCGCAAGTGTTTGATTGGAAAAGAGCGGGATGGTTTTGATGACCAGTGCGGAGAAATGTGCTTCAGCCGAGACGACTGTTGACGCAAGAACCGACGTATCACGGCGCCCCCGCCCGACCCTGGTGACGCGTGTGCCTGCTGTGCTTTAATCACACATTATCGTCCACTGCTCTCCTGCACCAGCTACAGTCAAGCTCACACACATTAGTATTCTGCAGAGTCACATATGGCACCAACAAATCAAAAAGCAAACTTGCATCTTCTAAACTATGTAATATTCATGCTTGCATAAAAAAAAAACACAACACACACATCTATGGTTTAAACACCTTATTTGAATTCGATTCATTCGAAATTTGCACTTCATCACACAGAACCCACTTCACCTCATCAGTCTTTAATTGCAGAAACAATCATTGCAATCCCAAAACACAGGTAGGAAAAAAGAAGGCAACACACACACACACACTTCTTGATAAATAAGCACTCTAGGTTTTGACGTTCTCATTCATTCCAGTTCACCCCAGGCAATATGCGAGTGTTCAACAGGTTCTAATCCATTACCTGATAAATAGATTTGAAAAAATTTAATTCCAAGCCAGACGAGGATTTGCAGCTTTTCCCTCCTCTGCCATACAACTGCGTCTTACCTGCAGGCAGCGCTGGAGCACAGCTCGCGGTCTCGACTCCACGGAGGCAGCGTGTATACGAGAGGGGAGGAGGGGGAGGGCAGGAGGGGAGGAGGGGGAGGGCAAGCAGAAAAAAAAGAAAAATGAATGAATAAACAGGCTCATGCTCCCCATCTGCCACTTTAAGATTTCCACTATCTATTTTTGTTAGTGTGTCATTAGCGTGTGTGCAGACTGCAAAGTGGTAAGAATTAATAAGTGTGTCGTGCTAAGAAGGCACAGAGTGAGACAGGAAGCTCTGCTAGTGAGTTAGCGACCCTGCATGTACCCAGAAGGCCTAAGTGTGTATGTGTGTGTGTGTGTATCTACAGCAGCACCCACTCCTCTACCTCCTCTGAAACAACCATTACTGATGTTCAGGCCGGTCCCCATTGATTGTTATTGTTCCATGCTGTTCCACATTAGCAGGAAGTCTTTAACCTTTGACCCGCATTGTCCTGACTCTGTTTTTCTGTTGTTGCTCATGTCAGGGGGAGACACAGAAAGGGGGAGGCATGGTCATTAACCTCTGTCAGAGAAAAACACACTTCTTCGTTGGTCTGACAAAGCCTGTTTATGCCCCTAATTGGTCTTAACGCTGGCACTGAAGAAAGGAAGGCTTTCATTTAAATGGGCTGCACTCCCGCAGTCCGGAGTGCAGCGAGCGAGAGAGAGAGCAAGCAGCGAGAAACTGACAGAAAGCAATATCAGAATTAGTCTTTGTTTCTTTGCAGCCTCAAAGCACTTCCCCTCTAAAACGCTTTCCACATAAACCACAGGACACCCCGCTGTCTCCTCATTCATTTCTTGCAGAGAGCATTGATTTCTGTAGGGTGTAAATATGCGCTGCATTGTTTTCTTTGGTAGTTGGTTGTTTTTTTTTTTTTTCTTATTTGGGTTTTTTGGGTTATTTTTACTGTATTCAGACCTTACGCATTTTTGTGGAGACCTGGTCCAAGCGCAAAAATATGGCTCTTCTTTT